CGGGAAGGGACGAGGGGACCCCGGGGCTGGCGGGACCCGCTCCGAGCGCTCCTTCCCGGGGTTCCCGTTCATTCCCGCATTTTCTCCTCTTTCGGGAGCCGGGCGGGTTGCATTGCAGCGGGATCGCGTCCCGGTCCCGGTTCTCCCCTCGCGGTTTTTGGGGCAGCGGGGATCCCCCCGCTCGGTTTCCCGGGAATTCTGCCCCGGAGCTGGGATCCGCTCGAGGGCAGAAGCGGCGTTTGAGTGCGATAAAATCCCGAATATTTAACGCACCGACATCGGCTTTGGGGTTAAAAACCTCCAAACCGGGCGCGGCCCGAGAGCGCCGGGGCCAGGGCGCCGCTGCCCCGGGAATCCTCCCGGGATCCCGGCACCTCCAGGCGCGGAACTGCCCGGCCCCGGCAGCGATCCCGGTCCCGCTCCCCGCGGCCGCCGCTCTCCGGTACCGGGGCGGGACCGAGCGCGGCGGGGCCGAGTTCGGGGAACCGCGGGGATCAGGGGGACCCCGAAACCCCGAAACCGGGCCCGGGAAAGGATTCCCGGCACTTCCCGGCCGCTTTCCGACCTCAGCCCGAGCTCGGGGCGTTGAAACCTTTATTCCTGAGCAGGGATCCCGTTTGATCTCCGTCCCTCCGGCTGCGCGATTTTGGGGGAAATGCGGCAGCTTCGCTTCCCGGGGCGCCCCTTTCATTCCTGTGTGGGATCCGCTCCCGGCTGCTCCATCCCGCACCAAAATTTGGGATACGCTCCCGCCGGGATTTCCCTTCCCTCTGCCCCATCCCAGACCAAACTTTGGGATCCGCTCCCGCCGGGATTTCCCTTCCCTCTGCCCCATTCCAGACCAAAATTTGGGATCCGCTCCCGCCGGGATTTCCCTTCCCTCTGCCCCATTCCAGACCAAAATTTGGGATCCGCTCCCGCCGGGATTACCCTTCCCTCTGCCCCATTCCAGACCAAAATTTGGGATCCGCTCCCGCCAGGATTTCCCTTCTCTCTCCGCTTTTGGGATCCTCTCCGGCGGGGATTCCCCTTCCCTCTGCCCCATTCGGGACCAAAATTTTGGGACGGGTTTGGAGTCGTTTTTGGGGCGGGTTTGGAGCCGGTTTTGGAGCAGGTTTGGGACAGTTTTGGGACGGGTTTGGGGCCGATTTTGGGACAGGTTTGGGACAGTTTTGGGACGGGTTTGGGGCCGGTTTTGGGGTGGGTTTGGGGCCGATTTTGGGACAGTTTTGGGGCGGGTTTGGGGCCGATTTGGGGTGAGCAGCTCCTGCAGCCGCATCTCGGGGATGCTCCGAGCTCCTGCGGGGAGACGGGGCCGGGATTGTCCCGCTGCTCCCGGGATCAGCGTTTCCCCAGAAATCCGCCGGGATCCGTCCCGCCGGGCCCTGCCCTGTCCGGGGCGGGGGGACACCGGCACAGGGAGGCTCGGGATGAGTTTTCCAGGGATTTGGAGCAGCGGGAGAGGTGGGAATCGCTGCAATCCGGCTGCTCCTGGGCGGCTCCCGGAGCTCGGGATGAGCCCAGAGGGGTCCGGGGGGCTCTGGCCCAGCTCGGCCCGGGTTTGGATGTCCGGGACAAGCCCCCGGGAGAGGCTCCGTGGGAGGGTCCCCAGGGGCTCTGTGTGACCTCACC